GGCTTGTGTACTTTCATATGGCATCTTTTGGGGCCGGGCGCACATGTTTCAGATGGATCGTCATGGGCAACTCTAATGAGGTAAGTATGCCACAATGACGTCCATTTTGCAGGCTCTATGAGGTGTCGGTTTTACCTCTGACACTATTTACGTAAATCATTCAACAGTAGTAGGTAATATTGTGTACGTAAACGTTAGTGCCATGGATTTACTGAATTTCGTTCATTTTAAATTAAAATTGTGATAGATAAATAAAGATCCGATTTTCTTACACGTTAAACATCATTTTTCCGTAATAACATTACCAAAACCCTTTCGGTAATAATAAATCGATCCTAAAAAAGGAATAAATAAGTATTACGTAGTAACGGTTCCCTTATAAAACGCATAAACTATCTGTGGATTAGTTACACAAATTATCTACTTGTACATATCCACAATTTTCAAGATGCCAAATTTAGAAGCCCATATGAGTGCTGCCAAGAAAGATGAGACTTCAGGCTTTCAATTATGTTTTTGTATCGGACACAATTGTGTCCGACATAAAATATAATTGGAATCCCGAGGCATCATTTTCCCTCATATGTAAGTATACTGATAATGCTATTTGTGTAGATGTATACTAAGATAATTTCGATTGTATTTATCTGTTATCTATTATGGTTAACAAAGCTCGTGAATTTATTGTTTATAAGTTCCTTTTAAATGGTTAATGTCAGAGCGTGTGTTAATGATATTTTATTCGTGTTAGCGTTAGGATAGATTATTGAATACTTTCCTTTTATCGTGTTGGAGTTAGGATTAGTTTATTGAATGTTTTCCTTTTTTCATATTAGAAGAGTTAGGATAGACTATTGCTACTTTATTTTATTACCCCTATATAATATTTTACTATATATCCGATTCTTCAATAAATCTCACTTTTTTTCCAATATACCTTTAATCAAAATGATTTTTAAATACATAAATTCGTCTAAAAAGCTTTTGTTTCTTTACTGTTTTGTTTCATTATTATGTAATTTTACTGTTTATGGATATCATACCATTTATTCAAGTAGTAATAACAATCTTCCTTATAATCAATTTCATGTGAATACAAGTTATGATGGTAGTCTGGTTATTAAGGTTATTGATGATATCAACGTAAATCGTTACAAAGGTATCCATACTATATTACCAAACGGGACTGCAATAGATATCAATCTTGATTTTTCTCATCATAACAACATAAGTGTTGGTCGCATTTACCCTTTAACTATGAAACTTTATTTACTACTTTATGATGGTATTGTCAATGGCAGCAATCAAGTCACCGGAATGATAATCGACTGGAATAAGCAAATCATAAAAGAGTTTGTATCAAGTTACTGCTTTCTTTAAAAACAAATATATATCTCCCAAAACAATAGTAATACTATATTACTATATTTATATTTGAATAGTAATCTATTTGTAGCAAATTCGACCATTAATGACAACCCAAGCCTAAACCTTATTTTAGACACACGATTATCTTCTTTTTTAATCTATAGCCAGTCTGATAATAATGTTACCTGGACTTTATATAATTTACAGTAAGTAATACACATATTTGTTATATATGATATTGAAAAGTTCTAATTTATATACTGTGTTTAAATGTTTAATCTTACTATAAAATTTTTAGACAACAAGACAATATAGGTGTCATAGCCAATAACTCTTTTAATTTGCCAACTAATTCAACCCTTGAATATGTATTTCCGATCGTTGATGGGAGTTATGGTTTCGTTATTTCAGAAATATCAAATGATAATAGTACTTCAATACCAAATATATATTTATATTATAAGTTTTTATCATCCACAACTCACAAAGTTTCTGAAAATTTTTTGTTATATTTTGCGCGAAATATTAGTTCAATATTATATGTTTCATGTTCACCAAGTTACAGTGAGGATGGAAATACATGCATGATATCTACACCAGTCGAAAAGTCTCAATCCGGTTCAACAATTATAACGTACCAGATTGACTTTTTGTCATCTGGTTCTGTAGTTAATTTACAATCACGATACAAACAATTTCTGAACTCTAGTAATGGACAATTATATTTTAATATCAAGCAGTTATTTTATGGTGGATCTATTATAACTAGCTGGACTTTCCAATGTATTGAAAGTGAATATTTGACGGGTTATTCCGCGGCAAATGGTGATACCTGTAAACCTAAGAATTTGACTGGATATATTATTCCACCTAATGGCAATGAAAAACAGTGGGATTTATTACCGATCTCTTTATTTTCAGATGCTGTATTTGACATAATGAAAAATAATACTTATATATTGTACATAGAGTATGGTATTGGTAATTGGAGTATTTTTAGCTTCGATTTACCAAAATTTAGGGAAGATTGTAAGTTGCATTTATTTGTATATTACGTGGTATATGCTTAAATATTCATCTTATAATATGATTTTAACGTTAATTACAAAATTTATTAGTTGGATATGAAAACCCAAATATTATTTCAGTATACCCCAGAATTAATGATACTATCTTGCCATACACAACTTCGGTCAATATATCCTTTACAAATTCAATTAGTAAATCATTAAATAATTTCTCTATTTATCAATTGATGCTATTACAAAGCAAACAAAATTCAGAAATTTTATTCTGGAAATTCTGAAGATTGTGCAATTTCAAATAATACGAATTCAGTTTTATGCAATATCTCAACATCCATATTTAATCAATGGAATTCTTCTTATATGATTGTGGTAGATAATAATTTTGTGAAATATTCTTTGACAGATGAGCCTATTTATGGCATCGTAGAAAGTCTATGGACATTCAATACTAATTTACGTAAGTAAATTTTAATATTGATATTATAAAACTTGTAATTAATACAGTATACTGTATTAATCGATTAAATTTTATTGTATAGAAACACAACCAGTAATGCATTCAGGTAATTTTAAAGAATTATATTAATAGTAAGGTTACTATATAATTGTAACGTTTACACTATATCTTTAAATTTTCAAAGATAGCGCTGTAGTTATTGTACGTCTAACTGGTGATGGAACTACAGTATATAATTCTCTTTCATCATCAGAAAAACCTATATTTTTAAATGGCTTACAAAATGAACTTGTTGAAAGTATTCCTACGACACATGATAGATTACGTTTAACAAATCGAATCCAATATGATCCATCATCTCAATATTTAATACAAATTGAAATTTTGGCTCCTAATGATAATTATCAGACACCCGTTTATCAAATAATCAAAGATATGAATGCATTAATTAAAGAAAAAGACACTTCGATAATGTCAATGAACAATCATACGAAATATTTAGATTCTTCATATGGTGTTACAGTGAATCGTAAGTTATTTTGAATTTTATACTATATGTAACATTTAAAAAAAAAACACTTTATAATTTGATTTTATTTATTTTAAGTAAATCTTTGGGATGATATTAAATTCAAATTACTTGGATTATTGATTGGATTTATTGTTTTAAGTATTATTGCTTTATGGGCTCGTCACAAATCCCCAGAGGTAAATCTATTAATTTGTTGATATATTTTATTATTTCTTGTTTAATTAAATATATTAAGTATCAATTATTTAAATATATAATATCTATGTAGGGAAGTTTCTTTACGATATTTAGTATGACATTTATTTTGCTTGATTTAATTATGGATATTTTATTTATTGTTAAAAACGGAAATGATGTTCCTGTATTGTATAAGCCCAGGTTTTGTATTAATGTTTTTTTTTTAAAAAAAGAATTGTTAAAAAATTAATTACACAAATTAATAATGAATAATACTAACTTTAAATATTTTAATCAAAATTTTAAAGCATTTTTATATTAATTTTGTCAATATTATTCAATTTGGCTGCATCTATTAAGCTTGTAACTTCTGAATTGCAATCTAATAAACCATTTGAAAAATGGTTTGGTAAATATTCGAAATTTATTTCAATATTTACTATGCTTTCAATATCAGATATTGCATTATTAGAATGCTTAACTTCAAAGTTTGGTGGATTTGAATTATTTGATGCACCATTTTCTGCCAATGCTCAAAAGCTAATATTTTGGGGAACTACGATTAATATTTTTATAGAAAATATTCCTCAGTTTATTATACAGGTTTGTTACATGAACTATTTAAAAAAAGGAAATTATAATTTGGTGCACCAGTGCACCATGGTGCACCTATTATACTTTAGGGTAAGTATATTAGCATATAACAGGTTTTTTAGTTAAATTACATAACTTTG